CCGCTCCCAAGGCCTGCCGGCGGGGCTTCTCCCGCGAGAGGTAAAATCCTACGCCCTCTCCCGGAACGGGCTTCTGGAAGTGTTCTTGGAGGGGCCCTGTCTGACCAAATACGAGAACAGAGTGATGTTCGAGAGCGTGGTCAGGGCCAATCTCAGCTATGGCAGTCTCATCGGCGTCCAGGGCCTCACTCAGGAGGAGCTCTTCCTATGGCTCCCCGTCAAAGATATCATCGTCGACGATCCCAAATCCGGCCTCATCCTCTTCGACATTGGCGTCGCTCATAAGCAACTCGCTCTCTCTCTCTTTGAAGATCCCCCCAGTTGTAACCCTCACCCCAAAGGTATTCATCCCAATCTTCGATTTACGCTTTCGATTTTGCTCTTTGGTGTCGAGTTCTGGAAAATTTGAGTTTCGATTCTGTTGAATCTTGAATGTTCGATCTGCGATTTTCATGAATTGCGACGATTTTGATGTTTTCAGGGGATTTGAGGAGGAATCGTGTGAGGAAGGAGAAAGGATTTGAAGCTATGAAATAGAAAGGGAAATGAAAATGCCAAAATTCTGCTGCAAAATTTTGTTTTCTTTTTTATTTTATTTTATTTTTGGTTTTGCTCCCCAATGCCTATAACTAAATTAGTTCTAATAATAGTTAATACTGTTATACGAGTTAGTAGAGGTGTTTTTTCTTTTTTTCTTTTTTTTTCCAAAAGACCAAAATACCCCTAATTTTTTTTAAACTTCAAACGGTCCTCACAATGATTGTATCGAAATCTATGCAAATCATGTCGCTCTGACTCACGTGACATTGTCGGTCCAATTATACTTCTTCAAGTATGGGCTTGGGATCGGTTCCTCACCATGGCTCCACAACGTCGTCACATCTCAGATCACGAGTTCGTGGGTCGACCATTAGCTACCCGGTACGTCGATATAAATATTGTCCTATTTTCCTCTTTAAATTTTTTCACGCATTCAATTGTTGTACTAACCTATAATATTATTGTAGGTGGAAAGATCACTTTTGTGTTACAGAAGTGTCTACACATGTTTTGATCCARTATAGATACATGCTGGACCTCTTATCACCAGACTCGATACGTTTTTTAAATGTTAGAATGCAAAAATATATATTGATTTATAATTAATTACACCGTTYTTTACTACAATTTCAGATGATCTGGAAGTCATATGATAAGGAATTTGCCAACCTACCCGACTTTTGTGCCAATGGACATAACGTCTGGTGCACTGTGAGTCCACTCATATGCTTTCATATTGTGGAGTAGCATTATCCTGATAGAGTTACCAGACAATTTGGTATGAAACAAGCAATTCTAGAGGTGTCATGCTGGGATAAGAGGATACATGACATCGACATTCGGGATAGCACCTGGCAGGATCAGATTGCACATTTTGTGGCGATGTGGCACATACGTAGAAATTTTATTGTTATCAATCCTCCCGTAGACGATGACGGTGATTGCGATCCAAGATACATGAGCTGGTATACGTTAATCACCAGATGATATATAACTCGAGAAGGAGCAGCATTTGGTGTTACGGTACAATCTTTTATTTCGTTATAACAATTATTCAAATTAATAAATATATATTAATTTTTTTCCATGTAAGCTGCGTGTTTCGAGCAAATCAGTATTCTCTCGTCATCAAACAAAATTAATACGTTGTGCAACGTTGGCGGGAGACATCTTCAGAGCCTTCATCAAATGTACAAAGTACCTACTCCTGCTCGTGGCCCTAGGCGTAGAGGACGACGTCAAGTAGACCAAGATGCTCCAGTAGGGCTTGACGATCCCGTACCTGAAGTTATCTATCATAGAGTTGAAGACATTCTACTGTTTACACAGACACATGATGATGCTGGTCCGTCCACGCCTATGATCATGATACCGACTCCTGGTTCTAGTCAGTATCACACACCATCTAGAGGGAGCCATGGACGTGGACATGAAGAGCATGGACAATACTTCAACCCTACAGAGGATCGAGACCCTACAGAGGGTCAGGAGACACCAACGGCACCAATAGTTCGTCACCAGCCACATCGTAACCGRCGACATCCCCATTGTGGGATGAATTAGATCGATAGACTGTAAATTGACAAGCTTCAAACATTGTTCTCTAATTTATAATATTAATTTCCAATTTTGAACTACCATGGATAACTTCATGATTCTATAAGAAAAAATATATAAATTTTTGTTTACATAGCCTATGAATACAGTTTAAATAAAAAATTTTGGTAAATTAAAATACAAATTAATAAATTTTGATAAATTAATAATATTATAAATTTTTGTTAAGAAATTAATAAATTTTGATAAATTAATAAAAAAATAAAAAATATAATATTATAAAAACATATAACTTTAAATAAAAAAACATATAACTAATATTATAAAAAAGAAAAATTTTAATGTGGTTGTCTCTGGAAGAGACGACCACGGTTAATATAAAAAAAAAAGGCAAAGACGTGGTCGTCTCTTCAAGAGACGATCACGGTTAATATATATATAAAAGACGTGATGGACGACCACGTTCAAATTTTAAAAAAAGTTTACGTGGCGCCCACGTGGCGCCACGTCTAGCTGGTCGTCCGATGATGTGCGATGGTCGCGACCAGCCTTCAATTTTTTTCAACTACAATATTTTTAAAAAAAAAAACTCAAAACCTACAATATTTTNATAATGGGAAATTGTTGAATTTTCGTTTCATTTGCTTTTAGGCTGTCCTTTTAATTTCCCTTTTACGCGGGAAATCTGAGACCCCATTATCAGTGGGCTCCACATTTTGCCCCTCTGGCCCACCCAGCTTCCCCTTTGGGCCCCACAACCTTTCTTTCACTCCTTCTAGGATTTTTTTTTTTTTTAATTTTTAATTTTGTTATAATATATTACCGTAGTACCGTGAGACAGCGAGAATTCGAATTCAAAATTTTTTTAATTAAAGATAAATGCATTAATCCGTTCAACTAAGTTTAAGTTAGACATTTTCCTTTTAGATTGTCCTATTATTATTTTGAAAAATAATTTAACCAAAGCATAATAAATACCAAATATGTTATTTAATAGACTCGTGGACAAGATTTGACATTATTTTTAAAATACAATTTGTGGAAGTGAGCATTTAATCTGACTATTTGGTTGCATATGTTTTAACCGTTGAGTTATATTTTAGTTGGTGAAAGATTTGACATATTAAAAGAGACAATTGAATTTTAAAATATAATATAAAAAATAATAAATAGTATATATTTCAAATGTCAGATGATAAATGTACTACAAAAAAAAGTCAGATGATAAATTTATATTTGACTTAAAATTTATTTTATCTGATACAAAAAAATTATCTCCGTATTATCCTGGTTGTATATGTCAAAATTTCCTAATTTGATCACCTTTAACTTTATTAGATTGCAAATTAGAAATATATCCTTTTTTAATGAAATAAATAGATGTTATGCGCTTTTTTTTTCTCGACTAATTGACTTTGAATTTATATAATCAGAATTACTTAAAAGAAATTTAATTTGATCACGAGTAAAAAAAAAAAGGAAAAAAGGAAAAAAAAAACAAGAAAACATAATGTGATGATGTTAAGACTATTTATTGAGTAGGTACTAAGTTTGAATCAAGAGAAGTTGTCATAACTTATGATATAATTTTATATATACTTAGTAGTTACACAACTTCACAAATCTTGACATCAAAAAAGAAAAAATCACAAATATTCATATATTTATTGATCAAAAGTTGATCAAAATATCTAATCTACAATAATTCAGAAATATAAATAGAGTAAAGGACTATCTCAAAAAGGAAAAAAAAAAGATACGAATATCAAATAAAAAATCTACATCAACAAAAAAAATTTTTGTTATTTTTATACAAGATCAAAAATATTTCTTTTAGTAGAACAAATAATGGAGTACGGGAATTTCAACCTCCCGATTCAAATAATGAAATAATGTCATTACTCTTTTAGCTATACTCAGAAAAAAATAAGAATAAGAATGAGACAATTATTTTATTGTCTCACTTTTCTTCCATTTAATATGTAAAATAAAATAATGATTGAGAATCATTATATTGGTAGGTTGCTTGGTTCCATGTATGAGCTTCAATAGGGTATTTTTAAATAAAGTTGTGAACAGGTTGGCCATGGAAAAAAGCAAAGAAGACACCAAAATAATATTATTAGGAAGCAAACTATTTGTCGTTAAGCTGTTGGTTTTAATTGGGATTCTTTCAAACTTGAGGGGTCAACTTATAAATTTTTAATATAACTCTTTTTTTTCCCTTTAAAAAATATAAATGCTGGATATATATATATATATATTAGAGAACTAAACGGTGGATATTTTTAACTATACATTTTTCTTTTTTAATGAAAAATCAACACTTCTATTTGTTAATGTCACTTGGGTGTTACGTGCAAATTAAGACTCTCCCTCCAAAGTACACACAATTATTAATTCGGAAAATCATACCTCCATAATACGAAACAACGTTTTTTGTTGCTACTTTTGCAAGTTCACATCTAGATCCATTGAAAGATCTTTTAATATGGGCAAATACTATGTTCACTACAAGAATTTTAAACTTTCTCGATGTTTTCTTTCTCGACATAGAGGGAATCGTCGAACAAAACAATATCACTGACTTTTTCGAATGTCTTCAATCCAAGTATTAGCTTCATTACTCATTTTAATCTCCTCTTTTGCTTTTCGTATATATCAGATAGTAGAATGCAAAATAATGAAAATAATGAATTTATAGCCTACGATTAGGGTTTCAGAAAAAGGACAAGAAGGGACACGTGTTGGCTTATGCGTGAAGAGAAAAATAAATGAAATAATACAGTAGTATCAAATTCTGTTTTGATTAAACAATCCAGAATGCTGCATAAGTGTCCTTTCACTGATGAAGTGGAGTGCTAATTTGACCATATTGACCTTTCTGATCCTTAACATTCTCCTTCAATCGAGAGGGGAGTTCCATAACCCCGAGTTCAAACCGTAGATAATGAAACAGAGTATGTGTGAGAGACATGGTAAGGCAATCAGCCACCTGATCGGCCGAAGGAGCGTAGCGAACAGTAAGAGCTCCCTAAAGCACTTGATTGCGAACAAAATGCACATCAATGTCGTCTTTAGCCCGGGTTACCATCGGATGAGAGGTTGGGAAGCAGAGGGTGGGGCAGGCATCGATGTAGGTTGCGGGACAAGTGATAACTCTCCAAAAGAAAGTTATTATGTTTATCATTTGGGTAGTTTTGTGCTAATTATTGCCGCATGTTGTGTGTCTAATTTAGCTCTTGGAAATCATGAATGTATATAGAAACTGAATCATGAGCTCAATTCCCTTCTATTTGATGCTTTGGCTTAAGTTATGGTTGGTTTCTTCTATTAATGGCTCTTTTGCGCATAGTTGAAAGCTGAGGACTAAGTCATGAAAAAAGCGTAGAGCCCATGCAGCAATTGGTGAAGCATTGTTAAATAGAAAGTCTAATTAAGAAGTTGGAGCAATCTAATGCTGGAGCATGGGTTCACAATGCAGTAAATGCCCCACACGGGGATATTTTACCATGTCGTACAAATTCCAGTTGGATGCCCTAAAATTAGTGTCCGATATAAAAGAGAAAGAAAT